GGCCAATCAGCCAGACATTATGGTAGTAGACAAGGACAAGAAGACAGCAGTGGTGATAGATATAGTGGTACCAAGTGACAGCAACATCAGGAAGAAGGAATATGAGAAGCTGGGGAGGTACCAGGGTCTGAAGGAGGAACTAGAGAGGATGTATATATGTATGTATGTAGGTATATAGTCCCTTTGAGTCAGTCTTGACTACCGACAATTGCCCGGACAAGTCCCTGCAGTTTTCTTGGCAGAACTTTCAGAAAGCTTGCCATTGCCTTTTTCCTATGGCTGAGAAAAAGTGACTGACCAAAAATCACCCAGCTGGCTTCTGTCCCTAAGTCAGGACTAGAACTCATGGTCTCCCCTTCTAGTCTATTGCCTTAACCACTACACCAAACTGGCTGTCATGGTGATGTTTCCTGTAGTTTATATCTGGATAGGGTTAGGCTGGGAAAGGAAAGATTGTTCTGACTGACTAAATGCTATAACCTTTTCACCTTTTATCTCTCTCCTTGCCTTCTGCATCCCATTTCAGTATGTGGTTATTCCTACACGCCGAGCAACAGCAGTAGCTTTGCAGAGCTTCACCTCGCACCTTTTGGGAGATGCTGGAAGTCCCTACCTGGTTGGATTTGTAAGTATAGTCTTAGCACACCTGAATGAAGAATATGCTAAGAATCTGGGTTTTTGTTTTTGGGATGACAGTTCTCCCCAGCTTTACACACAGCTTCACAGAATGCACTTAATCTGGTTACTCAGTGAATCCATTTTCTGAGTTCATACAATACATTGGGATATAAGCTACCCTAACCGCCTGGTTTTGTACAACATAAGGCCATCCCAAAAAAAAAAAAAAAAGTATAATTGACGAAATCTGAAAGAGGCATAGGAATAATGTAGTATTGGCACAGCACAATTTCCTGCTTCCTCAGATCCACAATTTGAGATGTCTTTCTGATTGCTGTTGTGGTTTTGAATCAAAAATGATTTATTGTAGTTTCTTCAATTCCCTTTCATCTTCATGGGACAATATACTAATGCATTTGGAAAATTAACCCTGCCAGTATAAATAAACATGATGTTACATATCAACCAGAAGCAGTTCAGAATTACACACAAACATATGTGTGTTACATATACATATGTTTACAGGACACTCAAAATGTCTTGACGAACAAAATTTTTGGTGCTGCAGACATTTTTGGGAGGGAGGATGTTCCAAAATCATGATGCTAGCACAGACAAGATGCTGCCTTTTGCAGATAACTAGAAAGCCTCCCCAAAGCGATAAGGGGTGAGCAGGGCGTTCTTTAACATAATCTTTCTAACACATGAGCTTCTCCCTCTCCTGCATTAGTCAAATAAGGTGGAAACATTCTGAAGTTGCAGAACTGACATCTCCACTTCACACTTCAAGATAGTTACTACTAGATAGGGAGATAGTTACTCAGAAGACTCCTCTGTGTTAAGCATTCTAGTTTTGGTTCACACAGTTAGCCAGGATAGTTCTAGAAAACAAGCACATGCACACACACGTGCGCCAAACAGGGTGCCAGCTTGGGACCACAGAGCATGTAGTTTCCCTCGGCTCCTCCAATCATTAAAGGGAACATATGCTGTTTATTTTATCTATTTATATTTCAAATTTAGTCACCACCCATCTCACTCAGCAAGCGACTCTCGGTTTACAATAAATAAGAGTAAAAACCAGTTAAAATACAATAAAAACAGTAATAAAAAATACATAATATAATCCAAGGGATAGATGGTATAAATAAACTATCGACCTCCAGAAGCGTCTTCAGGGTGCTAACCACTCCCAGGGTTGGTTACCCCTGCTCAAGCCCCATGTGAGCTGGCAGAGCCAGGTCTTCACCCCTTTCCAGAAGGCCATATTATTTAGCCATCTAGCCCAGACTGACTATTGTGATCTGGGATTTTCCCAACTCTACCTGGAGTTGGCATAGTTTGAACCTGAAGCAAAATGGGTGCTCCACCATAACTTCACCCCAGTTTTAGGATGAAGGATCTGTGTCCAGGGGGATTGCCCAGCAAATGAATTCCTGGATGCTTGAGTTGGGCTCTCAGATGTTTAGGCTGAACCCAGGAAACTGCCTTATACATTATCAGGTAATGGATTCCTCCAGCTGGTAGTGCCAAAACTGAGAAATGTCAGCTCTATGAAGTTTCAGGTAGAGAAGTCTCCCTTGGTTTGTAGATCCTTTAATAGGAGGTGGCAGAGTTGGCACCTGGAATTTTTGCACCTGGGAAAAATGGGTGGTTTGTCTCTGAACAAGGGTTCCCTTCATCCTCTTATCCCTGGAGGATCTCGTCTGGGGGTTGCAGCCATTTGTGGAGAGGTGCTCAGCAAGAAGAGAAAAGCCTAACAATGGGAAATCCTGCCTAACAGTAATGGGAGGAGCCAGCCAGTTAGCTGTAAGAATTTTAGGATTTGTTTTTCCATTCAAAGCTGAGCACGTCTCGCAAATCTTGTCAAGGAAGCAGTTAGTTCTCCCCCCATCCCCATCTCAAATAAACTATGTTGGTGACAAACAGAACATCCGTGAATATGCTCACCTCTGCCTGTCCTTTCTCTCTCCTCCACCCCCCTTTTCCCTTCTAGATCTCGGATGTGATACGGCAGAGCACAAAGGAATCTCCGCTCTGGGAATTCCTCAGTTTAGGCTACGCGCTCATGCTGTGCCCCTTTGTTGTGGTCCTGGGGGGGATGTTTTTCCTGGCGACAGCCCTCTTCTTCCTAAGCGACAGAGCCAAAGCCGAGCAACAGTGAGTATCTGCCTGCCAATGGTGTGGGAAAGGGAAATCAACATGTGCTACATCTTTAAAAAGGGCGTTGCCATTTACCATCTTGGCACCGGTATCCAGTTTAACCAAGGAGAAGAGGCATTCTCAGAGCATGGTGCACTTCCAATGTGAACCAGTTTCAAACTGTTTCAAGCTCCTGTTTGAGAAGTTGAGGATGTGAGACCATGTGCTTCCAGGCACCAGTGGTCTCTAATAATGAAAGAGTTGTGCCTTCGCAAAGTTATAGTTTCCAGGTTTGGTGGTAGATCAGTCTTTTGGGGACTACTGTGGGGGCCTTTCCATCATTCCGTTACTTTCTCTCCTTATCCATCCACATTATCTAGAAGAAGGAAAACTATAACTCCTTCTTTCTCCTTACTCTTCTTACTGCTTTGTTGCTCCTGATAGTCCATATGGATTTTTTGGTAGCACTACTACAGTGCTTTACTGTTGTCTCCTTCCCACTCTTGTAAGGGTTTGTAGGGGACAGCCAGAAACTTGAGTTGCATTTGAAAGCCTGTCAGGAGCCAGTGCAGTTCAGAGAGTAATGTTGTTACATAGGTGAATCGAGGTGTACTGTTTCTACCCATGCTGTTGTATTCTGGATCATTTGTAGCTTCTGGATGGTCTTCAAGGGCAACGCCATGAGTGACTGTGAGCAGGGCCTCCCAATCCAGAAATTAGCATAACTGATGCTTCTTCTTTTCTTATATAATATATTTACTGTCATAGTTCCCCTGTCAGGAGGTTGACACCAGTGGGCAATTTCCAAAGTCTGCCTAGGTGCATGGGCTCCATTCCCAGCTCTCAGATCCTACAGACTCTGCTTTTCTTCCCCATTGCTGCCAGTGGCTATTTACCTACTTTCTTGAACTCTGAAAAAAAGAAATAAGATGGAGCAGCATTCTCTATAGGTTGAGCCCATGGCAATAGGAGATGCCATCAGTGGGACAGTGGTAACAGAAAGAGAGTGCTATTGAAAGACACTGAAGATATGTTCTCCAAGCAGACTGCCCATCTGATGCTACTTAAGGACTAGAGACAATTTATCTCTGTGAAAGGACTAAGTAACATTCATTTTCCTTGACAAGGCCATCCCAGGATGTCTAGATGCTGGCATCATTATTCTTCAGCATTTAACTTTCTAATGCATCCTAATGCAAAGGAGATGTGACCTGTTTCCTCTCCAAGGTGGACCTGTTCCTCTTTCCCCAATATTTTCTCTGTTACAGTTGTCTTCTGTAGGGCTTTGTTGGTATCCTTGAGAAAGTACCAGTTTAAGATTGAGGAGAGCTGCATAGATGTCCATAGCTCCATCTGCTTTCATCAAAATGACAACAGTGTTGTACCACAAACTCTGGACATGCATGCAATGTCACAATGCAGGGGGTAGGGCTTGTGTCGCAACAACAGCATGACACCGCTTTCATTGGGGTTTCAAGAGTGTTGGGTGATTTGGGACCAGTCATTTAGCTATTGGCCTGCCCTTGGGCACCTCTCTTGGTGTCTACAAGACAACTATCCCATAAGACTTTTAAAAAGTCTGGCATTGTCAAGCCCCAATCAGCCACATACAACCAAGAAAGCTGGATCCTCACAGGACTCATTAGTCAGTCCAGAACCTTACTGGAAGTGAAACCACCAGCCTAGAACAAGAAAGATAAGCTGGAATGATAATGCATTGGGGGTTGGTTGATTTGATAAGGGAGAATATTACCAGTTTGCTTTTTGGTAAATGGGTACTTTGTAATAGTGGAGAAGAATATCCTTGTGTGACTTGTTCCTACCACTTGCTCTGGAGCTCAAGATCAAGATGGCATTCTGAAGCAGGAGAACTGTCCCAGTTCCATGCTACAGATTGCTAAATGGCAGCCACCTTGTCAACAAACAAGCCTTCTGTGGAGGGTTGTTTTATGTTGTTTTTCATGACAGCATCTGCAGCACACTTTTAAAATTGTCACTGGGCCCACCAAGTTGGAGACTCTGGTGTAACCAACCAGACAGGGTGGATAAAATGGAAGGGCAGAAAGAACCATGCCCATATAGTAACCTTAATGCCACTTGTGAAAGAGTGGGATCGAATTGTAACTAAACTAAAAACTAAATTTCAACAAAAGAATGGTCAGGGGAGGCAGTCTTTCTGCAGCAATAAGAAATGTTAATAAAACATACCTCCCCCCGCCCCCAATTTCAGCCCAGCACTACTATATACAAAATAAATACATTTCTCTGTTTGCTTGAATATATATCAGATCTTCAGGTGTTGCCTCTAAAGACTGTTCTCCCTGAGCCTTCTATCCAGCTAGTTCACAAGAGAAACAAATCTGGGTGACATGTTTTTCAGTACCTATTTGGATCATCTCACCATTGGCAACTCCAGTAACTCAGAAGACGCTACCACACGATAGCCACAAGAGAATTTGGGGGGTTAGTTCATGTGTGTATGTGTTTTGTTGTCTTTTTGAAAATTAGTTTACATACTTGTCATGACAAATAGGGACAACTTGCCATCTATTTGAACTGTGTGTGTTTATGTGTGTGTGTTTGAGAGAGACTGTGTGTCCTTCTCGTTCTCTCTCTCCTGTATCTGATTTCAAAAGAAAACTCAGAAATGGGACTCCAAATTCTCCTCATCAGGGAGAAAGTAATTCTGGACTAGGCTGTTTTGTTTTGCCTTGTTTTATTTTTGTGGGCAGAAGTTTTAAATATGTGTGGCTCTCTAAGCATGTTTGTGGGGCGATTCTTATGTTATATAAAATGTTTGGGGCCAGATTTCGATTCCTACATTTTTTAAAACCTATTATGAATTTAGAAGTATAATTCATCCCAGGTCCTCTGCGGCTTAGGCTAGTTGATGATCAAACTTCCTTGTGTTATAATGTCATCCAAGCCCTGCTCCTTCCGTGCTGGAGCTGTGTGTGTACATGAAAGGTAGTGGAATTCTGTGCAAAGGACACCTAAAGTCTGGTTTTAAAAGACCAAATCTAGTCTGCAACTCAACAGTGTTGCATATTCTACTTTTGCTAATCAGAGCAAGAACTGATGCATTGTGGTAAATCCTCACCCCATCCACAACCTCTGAAATTTTAATTCATTAATCATTCTGGTTTCTTGACATTCCAACAAGCATCCCGGGATATTTGACAGCCATGAGGACTAGCAACACTGTTGGTTGTATAATAAAGGAGAGTTCCGTGGACTTAAATTCTGGATACGGTACTGTAGTTTGATTTGGTCTGTCCTAACTTGTCCCTAATCCTAGATTTAGAAAACATCTTGGAGAACATCTAGTCCAATTCCTTGTTCAATGTACAGCAGTGTTTTTCAAACTTTGGCAAATTTAAGATGTGTGGAATTCTGGGAGTTGGTCCTCACATCTTAAAGTTGCCAAGTTTGAAAAACACTGATGTAGAGTATATAGCCAGGATGCAATTTCACTGTCTTTAAGAAGTTGCCCATCCAACCTCTCTTAAGAGAGCTGGTATAGTGTAGTGGTTAGAGGGTTAGAGTGGGACTGAGAACATTCAGATTCAAGTCCTCCACTGACTACAGAATTTACAGGGTGGTTTTGCACCAGCCATTTTCTCCCAGCCCAACCTCCCTAACAGGATCGATTGTACGGGTAGAGTTAGGGGAGATTCCACCCCCTTCCCAATACCATGACAGCTTCCTTGAGCTGTCTAAGAAAAGAGTGTATATAAATGCAATGCAATGCAATGTTGATGTTATTATTGTTCATCTTCATCATCATCATTATCATCTACAAAGCATGAAACCCCTCCTCCCAACCCCTGATAGAGTCTGTCCCTCCATTTTCTGTTTCTTTAGAACTGTTTTTAAATATCTGTGTATCTGTATGAATGTAGGGTTGACTTCATCTGTGTCTGCAAAGTATTGCAAATTCTGTGGCTTCTGCTTGCATGGAAGGAATGTAGTGTTACCAGCCTTCAGGGATTTAAAAATAAACAAAAGAGGAATTTTTTAAAAAAAAATTGCAAATTTGGCTGCAAGGCCTGAAATTAAGGAAATTATTAGGCACAGGAAGAATTGGCAATCCTGCTAAGCTACAGAGGAAGGAAGAGGGATGAGAAAAGAATCTCTGTAAGCAACTACTATTTCATTAGAAGCTGGTTCTTTGTTTAGGAGAGGCAGCTTTGAAACAATCAATTTGTAATGCATGCATTCTGTAATTATTTAACCCTATTGATGAATTGATGTAATTGCAGTCCCCTGTTTGTGATGGTTCTTAATTTAGTTTTAAGAACATAAGGACGTAAGCAGTGCCCTGTTGGATCAGACCCCTGGCCCATCTATTCAAGCACCTCTTCTCACAGTGGCCAACCAACCAACTGTGACCCATTAGTCTCCTAGCAGATGGCTTTCAGAGGCTTAAGAGCCATCGATCCCCAGGATTTCCATGAATTGGTCCAACCCCTTTCTGAAGCCAGCCAAGCTGGTAGCCAGCTCCACATCTCACAGTAGTGAATTCCAAGGTTTAATTGCATGTTGGGTAAAGAAATATTTCCTTTTGTCTTGTTTGTTTGGTCATCAAGACTCATTGCTTTGTATGTTTATTTTTCTCTTTATGTAGGTGGTTTTTTTTTAAAAAAAAGGGAGGAGCTAAGCATTTTTCTCAATCTACTAGATGTCTGTGTACAAGTGTAAAGTTGAAAATAGTGTAAAGAAGCATTCTAACCTGGCTCTTTTGCAATAGAAAATAAGGAGGGATGAGGCCTTATAAACAGGAAAGAGAAAGGGGTGTTGTTTTTTTGTATTAAGAAGTTGGAAGCATCAGAGTAATGAGTAACTTGAGGAGGGCAGAATGAGAAGTTATTGGTGGCTTTTTAGGTTTGTTTATCTAAAGAGTCATTTGATAGTGGCTTGAATTTGAGAATTCAGCCCAGTGGCGTAACCCAGACACGGATGGCAGCTGTCTTGTGGGGTGGTTCTACCATCAATGATTGGTCTGCCTAGAAGATTCC